AAGCATATAAAAATCCACACCGAAATGGTGACACTTTTATGGCGCAAATTAGGGGTTATCATGGCAGTTCGCAGCTGGCAAATGCAGAAAGTTTAAAGTTTATATCTAATTAGTGGGCTTAAACCTGAAACTAAGGCAATATTGAATTTTATAAAATTTACTTTAAGTCGCAAAACAGCTAATGAAATTTGCGTAGCTTTATGAAATTTAATTTCTTTTCTCTTGAAGGTATTTTGTAATATGTCTTGAATTGAGTTATATGAAACAGAAATCTTAAATAAGTAGTATATTATGGGTACTTAATTCAATCATTTCACTTTAGAACATCTAGAAAAATTATGGACACATTCCACAAACCTTTCCGAGCACATATCATATATCAAATATCGAATTTCGATCTTCGGTCGGCATTAAAAATAAAAATCGGCTTGTAAACAAGATGATTTCCAAGTGGGCGGGTCGCTTTGGCGACCTTTTGCGAATCATTTTTCGGGCACATGCACGTTTGATAGGTTTTATTTGTCTTTTTATTGAAATTTATTATTTGATTTACATGCCTTTAAGTGACAGGGACCAACAACACATACACCCAAACACACACACACACATACCATTTAAATTTTCGGGGTTGACTTGGGCCTTTGCGCCTTTGCTTCCATGTGCTTGTACACATGTTTGTGCGGTTGTCTCCTGGCGAACTCGGTGTTTGGCTCTCTTCTCGGCCATAAATCACATTCGAAAGCCCCGGCATAAAAGTTGCAAATTAGGCTCAAATGTTGACATGGCGATTAATCAAAGTGCAAGGCGCAAATGCAGCAACTAATTCGATAAGAGCAACTCGGTTGAAGGGCCACCGAATTGGATTGGTCTGGATTGGTTTGCCATTGGCATTCGCATTCGCTTTGCTTACGAGGGAAGAGTAAAAGAGGAGCTCTTGAGATACCGAAAGGGGCCATGAATCATTCATAAGCGCCGTTTACACTCCCAAGGACTCCAAATTACGTTGATTAATGAGTTGGAGTTGCCCGGCCCTCTAAGTCTTGGCCAGAATCTCTCCCGTTTGCAGTTTGGTCACGCACTTCCAACAGGCCAAGGTAAATACGTTTGGGGTCAAAAAACTAGCACTCTAAATTAAAGCTACGTGGCTTTTGTATTATTCGCAAAACAGCAATTACTTTTCAGTTTCGGTTTTTGTTGTTGTAAGTGTGTTACCAAATGGCAACTCTTCTTTATCTTTTAATCCATTGAATTTCAGTTCATTTAAAAATTTATTATTTAACTTGAAACTACATTAAATATAAAAGCTTAATATAACACATTATTCTTAAAGAAGAATTGTTATTAAATAATTATTAATTTAAGAAAAAGTAGAGAAGGAAACAGTTAAACAAAAAAGGTGACACGCCATAAAAATATATTGAATAGATGCTTTTATGAATTTGTTAAAAATAGACTAAAGTTTTTTTTAACAGGAGAAGAAGTTACTAAATTTATTAGAATTTGAAACATTTTTCGTGCCTTCCAATCTGACCGCTGCTATAAGGTTCCACAAGTCTGATTTGGCTAGTAATTGAGTCTGCGAGTGCCAAAGGGTCCAGGGTTTCTTGGGGGAAATAGGGAAAATGGGGGGACATCTACAGCATAGAAGAAAAACTAAAAATCACCAAAGATAATCCGTTCGGAATTCTCCAAGGAAAGGAGCACATGACCAAGCGCCGGCTCGCATGGAATTCCCCTCCAGATATCGCCACCCTCTCTTCCCCTTCCCCCTCACCCTCTTTTCCCCCTTCATCTTGTCCAAATTAAAAGTAAAAAGGTCATAAATTCCTCCCGGGACGTCTGGAATGCGGAGAAAAAGAGAAGAACGAAGCGATATGGCGGGCTATTTGAATGTTCCACCGCATGAATGGCATAAATAATAAACCTGCTGCATACTTTTTGGCATAACACACACGCACTTACACACACTGACACCCACTTAAGCACACACACACACACGCAATGCGAAAGCGTTTGATGTTTTCCAGCTGGTCCCTCGTGTCGTATGCGTAATATTTGTTTAATATTAACTCGCCGCACACAAACACATCTATATCCATATAGACATACCCAGATATACTGATATACAGATATACTGATGTACTGATGTACTGATATAGAGGCACGCCCAGTTGGCAAATGCCACGCCCACTGGGGCCAAAGGGAAAAGGACGCCCACATGTGCCGAATGACCCGCCATTTCCAACGCAACTCCCCACCTTGGGGGCCATTTTGGCATTGTTTTTAAAGGCGTCGGCCGAACGGAGCTGCGAACCAGCGAAAAGGTTGTCCCGATCCGGTTTCGGATCAATAAGTTTAATGTGTTGCAAACGGCTAACTTGAAATTGCCAAAAAAGCTGTCGAGGTAAAGGGCATCATGGCATAAAAGGAAAAACAAATACGTTGAAATCTTTGTCGTAGTCACAAAACAATCACGTATTGAAACCAATTGCTCGTTTCGCTGAACTTCCAATGAGCGAAAGTTTTGCAGACTATTTTTATGACACTTGAATATTCAGGAGAAATTATGATTGACTTTCTTTCGGTTTTACAAGAGACTTGCATTTTTCAAACTATTTTTTATTTATTTATATTGTAGTTAGAGTAGCTTTTAAAACTAAAACTAACTATGAAAGTTGCAGTACTAGCTGCTGAGGCCATCGACTGTCTGTACTTATATTATGTGATATAATGGTTTACAATTTACAATTACAATTACACTTACATTATTTTTGCTCGTTTCGCTGAACTTCCAATGAGCGAAAGTTTCGCAGACCATTTTCATGACACTTGAATATTCAGGAGAAATTATGATTGACTTTCTTTCGGTTTTACAAGAGACTTGCATTTTTCAAACTACATTTTATCAATTGAAAGGCAATAACAAACAATCTTTAAAATAAATGTTAAGTTCGTTATTTTAATTGCAAATTTTCAGTGGTTTTAAGTGATTAATTAACTATTTCATAAATTATTATTGCAGAGTGAAAGGCACTTGAAAATTATTTTAATCAGTTTGTTGGCAATGTTTATATTTTCTATAAGCTTAAAATTGATTGCGTAACCTGACTTTTATCGAGGATTTGTGTATTCTGCAGCTAATATCGATTGTAAACCCATTTCGATAGCTTAGTTTTTCTTAAGAACTATTTAAATGTTTCCATTTAACAAGCTTCTTGCGATTTTCTTCTGTGTCATGGAAAATGCAGGAAAAGTTGTTGAGAAAAACTCGGATTACTTCGCCGAGTTAAGTGGAAGCAGCAATGCACATCAGGTTGACCGAGTATCCGGATTCCGGAGATCAAATCTGTGGCAAATAGGGTACTAAAATGCGGGGGAAGGGGGCATGGCAAGGGGGGTGTATGATAAGGGGGTGAGAAAAGCGGGAAAAGGAGAGAAGACCGCCGGGAGATAACTGTGCCGCATAAAGAACTTCAAATGGAGATTGAGAGATACGCGCACGCTGCACACGAAAATGGGGCATAACCCAAAAAACCACCAATGCACACGCCCACTTTTCCCATTCCATTTCCACTTTTCCATTTCTCCGGACGCCCAATTTCTTCGGGCGAGTGGCTGCCATTTGGCAGTACATAACTTTCACTAACCTTTGGCGGCGTTTTCTGCCAAGAGAGCGGGAGCACATTACCGTTAGCCGACTACATCACTAACTGCAGTTTCACACCAATACACACACACTATCTCTCACACACACACACACTGACACGCTGTCGAAAGTTGTTGCGAAAAGCGGAAGCGCTAAAGCAGCCATTTTGCTGCCTCCCAAAATGGCGACGAAGAAGAAGAAGAAGAAGTAGAAGATGATGGCAAAAAGCGGAAGACGGCATCAGAGAAATCCCAATTTATTAGCATTGAACAAGGAAACGGAGCCTGCTCAGTGAGAAAAATGTATAATGATTACCAGCAATTTAATTCGAAGCAAAAACAAGAAATATTTTTAAATTTATTGGGAAAAATTTACATTATTTTATTTTCACAAGATTTTAATACAAATGAAATGTTCAATTTTCTTTGCTATTTTCACGGATTTAAAATTCAAGTTATAAGTCTAAATTAGGATTTGGGAAACTGTGGGAAAATGTGTTGCATTATTCATAGCTAATGTTATAACTATCAAACCACCTTTTCTTTTCACTGTACACCAGTATTTACGAAAGTGTCTGAGGGGCGAAGAAAACGGGGAGGGGAATGGTTAAAAATTTCCAATTTTAGTTACGGCCAACCGAGATTTCAATCAATGTCCTTGAACTAATGACACAATTTGTTGTTTACCCTGGCCAGAATTTGAATTTGAGATTTCCGTTCTGTTCTCCCCCCGCCCCCTCGATTTTCCCTCGCTTTTCCTCTTTTCCGATGTCACTTTGCATTTATTCCGACTCACTTTTTGCCGTCTTACTTGGGGTTTGGCTTGTTGTTATTATTGTTTTTTTTTTCTTGTGCCCCAACCGTTGTTCTCTTACTCGAAAGTCAGAAATTGTTTTACGATGAATAAGAAAGTAAACAAACGTGTAGATGTCAAATACACACACATATACGAATGTAAGGGGTGGGGTGGGGGGTTGTTTAGGGGGTGGGGGGTTTTTAGAGGGGTTTGGGTTTGGGTTTGGGATTGGGTTAGGTACACATACATACGCTCTGGTTACGCAGCAGGAAAGAAAACAATTTGACGCAACGGTAGATAAACTTTTCTTAAACAGGCTCAGGACGATTCTTAGTGTCCTTGGCCCTTTGTGCGTGTGTGTGTGTGTGTGCGAGTGCGAGTGTATGTGTGTATATTAGTACTTTTGTTTTTTACTTTTATTGTGGGGCTGGGGCTTAACTGAAATGAGCTTTCAAAATGTTTTATGTTTTATGCGCCATTTCGGAATGATTTTCCCCCCAAACCCCCTGCAACTGAGCCCCACTCACTCACATTTTCCCGGCAATTTTCCGTCTTGCAGAGCCCGTCACCGACATCATCGGAGGTCCCGAGCTGCACATCAACCGTGGATCCACCATCAATTTGACTTGCATTGTGAAATTCGCACCGGAACCCCCGCCAACCGTCATTTGGTCGCACAACCGAGAGGTGAGCTACACACAAAAAAATGCCCCCTCCCCCTCCCCCTCCCCCCCCCCTCCCCTCCCCCTCCCCCTCCCCCTCCCCCTCCCCCTCCCCCTCCCCCTCCCCCTCCCCCCCCCTCCCTTTCCTCCCCCTTCCCCATAAAAAAAGAAACCACTAACAGAAGCACAAAAAAAATACCACGAAACCGCAGCGAAAGCACTCGACATGTGCACGTGTCTGTAAAGCACATATAAATACACTTATTTGTACCCATCATGGCTATATAATACCCGTAATATAGAAGAACCTCCGCAGCAGCAACAATAATTACGTTTGACAAGGGTCCTTCGTCCTTTGAGATCTTTACGATTATTATTTCTGACCTTGTTTTCCTCGCAAGTGCAATCTTATAAACGATTCACGGAGAGTTCTTCGAAGAGTTCTTAGATAATAGCCTTTTCCTAACTATCGGAGGATGGAGTTTATTATTTATTTAAAAGCATTTCATTAAACTATCATTTAATGAAGTTAGCCAATAAAATTTTAAATAATAAATAAATTCTTAAAAAGAATTTATTCTATCTTTGCCACTTCAGCTAAACACATTTATTGAAATTAGCTCAACTTACTAAACTTTAAATTTAAGTACTGAGCAGAAGGCTTTTTAAATTGATTAAATACTATCTATCTTTCCATATTAAAGAACTTAAATCACTCAAAAGTATAACTTCTGTTAGAGAATTTCTAGAAGAACCCAAGCCCACAAGCCAGAATTGAGGTAGCAAATCTTCGGTCAGCCACAATCTCATCCCACGAAAGCATTCTGCTTGTAAATCCCCAGTTTTCCCCCGCCATTTGTTGTTGCGGAGTTGCAAATGTCAAGGAAATGCCGCTGCTGCTGGTTTCTATTTTTTATTTCTGCTACTTTTTCGGGGGAGTCGCTGGCGCAATAAGAAATCTCCCTGGCACAACTAAGCTTTCGGAGCCAGGGCAAGCGCAGCCCGGCTTGACTAACACGATGTCATTAATAAAAATTTAACTAACATGCTCCTTTGTGCCAGGGGGCCCAGCATCCCGAGAAGGTAACACAAATACTATACCCACAACAACTTACTATGGTGAAATGGTGAATGGTAAATGGTGAATGGTGAATGGGAACTGGGAATGTAACCCAACGCCTGGCCAAAAAAAAAAAAAAAAAAAAATTGTGTCCTGCCACTTAAGCTGTAAGCTGTAAGCTGTACTAGCATCCCATCTCATCTCCTTTCCCCCCCGTTTGCGTTGGGGGTTATTTATTTCAGATCATAAATTTCGATTCACCTCGCGGCGGCATATCATTAGTCACCGAGAAAGGTGTGCTGACCACCAGCCGGCTCCTGGTGCAGAAGGCCATCACCCAGGACTCGGGCCTCTACACATGCACCCCCTCCAATGCCAATCCGACGTCGGTGCGCGTGCATATCGTCGATGGTGAGTAGCCCGGTATGCAAAACGCTTTGCTCTGCCTTGCTTGGCCTTGCCTTGCCTTGCCTAAATGTGAATGTTGTCCGCTCTGAGCCAAGAGCACTGCGAGAAACGCAGGGGGAGTTACCATTTTTGATGTGCCAAAAAAGGCAAAAAAGAATATTGAAATAGGTAGATTAAAAGTGGAGAAAAAAGTACAGGCATTTTTTAAGATTTTAAGAATGGTTTTATAATCTAATTTTATTTTAATAGATCACAGATTTTTATTTAAAAGAAAAATAATGGTTTGCATAATAACAACTAAAAACTTTATGAAAATGTAATCGAATATTTTTTATAATAAACATTTTAATGGCTTAACTATTCAAATCTAATTGTAGCTGAGTGTTTATAGAATTTATATAATCCTATCATATATATAAACACTAACCATCGAAATGTTCACTGTACAACATGTTTGTGCATTATTTCATAAAGTTTTCCCTTTTTAAAAATTATATATTATTACTTATTTAGTATATTCAATAACTTATCTCAACACCTGTGAAGGCACTCAGTTATTTATTACCCATTCGGGTTCTGTTATTTAAGAACACTTTTTTTTCGGTGCAGGGGTTAGTTGGCCATAAAGCCCAGCCAGGGGTCACTTTGCGAATGGGCCAGGCCAAAACACAGAGCAGAACAGAACAGCAGAGTAGAGCAGAGCAGAGAGCAGAACAGCAAGACAAATGTGCGGCGCCCAAAAGTCAACTAAGCTTGTTTGGCTTTATTTGACAGACGAGCGCGTCCAGTGATTGACGACAACTTTTTCTAAAAGCTTGCAGAAGCGATGGGCGGTGGGTGGGGAGTTCGGGGGGAGGGTGAATCGCCGGGGGTGCTTACCAACAATTAGCCGACAACTTTGCGTATGAGCAATCTGCTTTTCAGTTTTCAGTTTTCACTTTTTAGTTTTCTGCTGCATCGAACAGAAGCTTGAAAGTCTGCTTTAAATCTCGTCACTAAGATGTGGCAAATTGTGCAAAAAACCTAAAAACTTGTATCTTTTCTTTAAAATATAGCACAGGAATATAATCCTTATGGAGTGTTTTATATTTCAAGTACATTTCCTGTTTTTATTTCTTGTTCAACTTTAAAGTATGAACTTATATTTGATTTTACGTATCACATTGAGAAACAGTTCCATAAATGCCCAATTCTATTGGCTCTGCAACTTAGATCTCCGCAATTTGTTGGCGATATCTCAAATTTTTCTGCACACACACACACATGGCATACATAAGCATACACACACACACACACGAACACCCACATGGTAAAGTCAAAGAAAATTAGTTAGGAAAAACTTTGGGCATCAACATTTGCGCAAGTTTTGACTCGTTTATGCCGCAGTTTTCCTCCCTCTCCTTTTTGGCCCCGAGGAGGATTTCTCCGGCTTTGGAAGCATTTTTTTTGTTCTTTTGCTTTTTCTTTTTGTTGTTGTTGGGAGGTTTACTTTTTTTTCCTTCCGCCCAGCGCTTCGCCGCTTCCGCTGAGGCCGGAAAAAATCGCTTACAAAGCAAAAAGTTGAACAACTTGAGCGCAAATGACTTTGGCGTGTAAGCGGCACGCTACAACAAATACGCCATGGAATTAGACTAAAATAACAGCAACGCAGCGCCGTCTATATCTTCTGAGAGTGTGGAAGAACAAGAAGAAGAAGAAGCTGAAGAAGAAGAAGAAGCTAAAGCGGCAGAAGCGGCAGCGGCAACTTGTTAAGTGGAACAACTGCTGAAACTTAAGTAATTAACACAAGTTGTTTGCGCTCAACGTTGCGGGCAAAAGCGCCGCAGGGCAGGGTATTGATGCCAGGGGAGGGGGTGGTGGGTGGTTGGGGGGAGGGGGAGGGTGTTTCTCCCCCTTTCAAGTAGTTTATTTAATAAAAATATCTGACAAGTTGCACGGAGAGAAAATTACAGGAGGAAGTCAATCATGCTTATGATCAATTCTAATCGGGAAAGCTTACATCTCCGATATACCAACTTATTCCCATTTAATTTATTTAAATAGCTTGAGTTAGTTTATTAGTAATTCTTTATTAAATTAAATTCTCAATTTTGTGGCTGCTTTCTTCGTGTGCCAAAACCGCTGGAAGTGAACATCCAAATTGAAATCGACGCAAAGGCGTTCAACTGCCAGCGAATAGAGAGATCATTCCGTTCCCTGGTGGCAGTTCCCCCTTTCAACTCCCCTTTTATTTTTTGGGGGGTGGCCGTCCGGGATTATCTCCCCTTCCGGCGGAGAAGTCGAACTCTTTGAGCGGCGGAGCATACCTAAGTCGGTAAATGAGTTTCGGCGGCATCTCCGCAAATGAGCGAGGAAATCAAGAGCACGAACTTTCGGTGTCTTATTTCGCTCAAAGAATCTAAGTGAATCGCATTTCACGCTAGAATGTTGCACGGAACTCAAATTTAGCCTTCTTGTGAAAGGGAAAATATTAAATATTAAGTGGAAATTGCGTATGATTGCTTTCTGAAACAATTTAGTAAACTCCATTGACACACCTTGCCTTATTTTAATGACTTCTTGTTTTCTAATATCAATTGACATTCTGTAGAATACAATAAATGTTAATTTCCATACCCTAATTGTAATAATTAAATTTCACAATGCAAGAAATATGTAATATATTTAGTACTCGGAATTCTCCAAAATCAATTCCATTTTCGACTTGAATTCGAGTCCTCTTTTTTGCCCCAATAACAATAACGAGTCCCGAGTGAATGCCCAAATCAAACAGTCACCGCCAGCCGACGGACAAATGCATTCAGCATTTAATTTAATATTCTACGGCTTCCACAGAAGCGTGCTTCCATTTCATTGTCTCCTCGACTGTCGACTGTCGACTGTCATCTCGAGTTCATTCGTTCGCTTTCTTGCCACTGCCACTCTCGAAATCAAAGTTCAGCTCCATCCACCAGAAGATTGTGGTCCCGCTGCAGCAGGAGTACACTTAAAAAAAAGTGTTCATATAATTTGAGTTTAATTTTATAAACGTTTGCTCAATGGAATTGAAGATTTTCTTCTTTTAAGATGGCTTAAGTCAAGAAGAACTCCAGAAGTCAATGGTGAATACATTAGTTATCACAATTTATAATTGTACCATCTTTCTCTATAATTCCCCAATTAATTGTGGTTGGCACTTTGTATATTTTATTATATATTTGCCAACTATTTGGTATGGTATTGCCATAAATCAAACCAAGAAACATACATTTCTAAGCTGTAGTTTTCCCTCTGTAGAGCTCCCTCGCTCCTTGCTGCATTATTGATAATTTGGCCAGCTTCAAAGCTGGAACAAAGCCGCTTACAGCTATTTGTTTTGGCCAACTGGAAGCACTGCTCGCTGGTCTCGGCCATTTAAGGCGATCATTACACCTAGCCACACAAAAGTCGACATCAAAGTCATTTTCATTAATTGAAGCGCTGCCTCAGCTGCTCGTGGTCAAAGTCGAGTCAAAGTCCGAGCATGGCCCACTGAATCACTGAACCACTGAACCACTGAACCATTGCAGCACTTGGAGCACTTGGAGCACTTGGGGCACTTGGAACACTTGGCCCACTGGACCACACCAAATCCGTCCAGCAATCCAATTAAGTGTGCTTGCCACGGCGCTTTTATCTGCAAGTGCTTGCTTTAAACGCACTCCAAGGAGCGAACCGATGCCAAAAACTGCGACTGCGGCTGTCATAAGTGGCGCGCTGGCAGGATTCATTGTCCTTGTTCCAAGTTCCCAGGCAGGACGCTTAATTATGTCAAACCGTATTAACTCTGCGACCACGCCCCCTTTCTCCTCCCCCTTTCTAGTAATTAGTGACTCCGGACGCAAGACGTCCACTGAGATCCACTTGGCGTCGAGTTATCGGCGCTGTCGTTTAGCATTCGGCATGGAAAACTTTCGAGATGTTGCTGCCACATGCTGCACGAATAAGCACAGTGGCGAAAATAAAGCACCACAACCTTTTTTGTACATTTTTTTTCAGTAAAAAGATCATAAAATGGTCAATTATTTTATATCAACGGGGCTTACATTTTCCTTCATGTTTCTAGGCCTATAAAATAGCGGAATACCAGCTTTTTTAAATTTCGGAAAACAAAATTTTTGCAAAATCGAATTTTCCATTTTTTGGTAAAACTTCTACATCTATTATATTGACAAATTTCGGCATATTTTTGCCTTAAATTAACTATGCTTTACATTTTAAAACATTTCCCGAAGTGATCAGTGCTGCAGTCGTTTGATTTGGCTTTTATTTTGTGCGCAGCCCCGAATTCAGTGGTTTTATGACCGTCGTGCTGGCGCGATAATCAGCATTCAGCTCGTGGGGAAAGTGCTTTCACTAGGTGTATTAGCTGGCGCCACAGTGCGGCCCACTCGCACGCACACAGAGGCGGAGGACAGACACAGATACAGCTACAGACACAGACAGCGACACAGATACAGATGCACGGACACAGACGGACTCTTAAGTAACAGCTCATGATGGGCATCAACGAACTCGTAAAGGACGAACGATGCATGATAATTGAAGCGGCGGCGGCAGAAGATATAGAAGAGCTATAGAAGCTGGGGAAGCTATAGAAGGGAAGCTGTAGAGTAGAGCCGTAGTGGCAGTATTCGCCTCGACGACAGACTCGCGCGCATTTCATGCCAAAATTTATGGCTCCCTATCTGCCATCTGGGCCTCTCGAGCCACCCAGGCAGAATCCAGCCAGAATCCAGCCAGAATCCACCGAAAACCACCCGACCACCCGACCCACCGAAGAGTGGCATCCACCTATATTCGAGTGCCGCGAAGTAGTTGGGCAGTTTTTGAATGCTGCTCTTGTTTTTTGTTGCTGCCACCCCACCACCGCTCTTCTCTGCTGCTCTTTTTTTTGTTTTTTTTAGTTAGTCTTGGCGTTTTTATTGCCGGCAATTAAGTTAATAGGCAATAAAGCTTCTGGATTTTCCAGGGGGGCCAATGGCGGAATGGGCAAAACTGGCAAGCTGGCAAGCTGGCGACTGGCAGTGGTAGGTGGAAGCAGCATTGGCAGCAGATGCAGATCCAACTGCAAGGCCCAAGTCGTCCTCTGCACTACACTTTACTCTACTTTGCTCCAATCCATTCCACTCCATCTCGAATCAATGTATTTTAGTGGATCTGCAAGTTGGGCTCTCGCCTTCGTTCGTCGCCCGCCACTTCCAAATTAACTTCCTTCGCTGCCTTTTTATTGGTCTGCGGCGATTTCCATCGCATCGCATCGCATCCACTTTGGCCACTTGATTGTTTTCCCACTATCATGGGCGGAAAAACATTTTCATCTGGCGAGCAGTCGCTTATTTGTTGCCCACTTGGCCACTCGATTTGGCTGCTCAGAACGTAAATCAATCAGGGATACTTCAATGGGTTCGAAGGCGCTTCATTTGCATTCGGTGGAAACAGTTGAGGGTGCTTAGTTTTTATTTTAATGATGAGATTAATGTTTACGAAGATATTAATAGAAAAGAGGGGTTTCCTTTTGGTGGGTTGCTTTAATGAATTAATAAAGCTGTAGTGAAAGAAACAGTTCATCAATCAGTGATTAATTATTCTTTTTATAATAATAAGAACCTAATAACCTACAAAAATGTCAAAAAACTCAATGAAGAATAAGAATTTTATGGAAATTTTTGATTTTTTGAAGGCAATTGAAAATACATTACTTTTTATTTTAAAGTATTAATTTTATAATTGAGTATCACTGAAACCAAAATAAAATGTGCCAGATAAGATTAGAAAGGGAAGGGGCATTGCATCCTTGCCTGCTTTTTGCTTTTCGCTGTTCGTACCGCTTTTCGTTTCCGCTGATAAAATTGTACCGCTAACTAACCGCTCTCGTCCCGGTTTTCCGGGCATTCCCCCTCTTCCTCTTTCTTTTCCGCTTTCGTTTCCGTTTCCGGTTCGTTGCAGGCGAGCATCCGGCGGCCATGCACACGGGCAATAACGGCAACTCGACGGCGTCGCAGCCGCCGGTCCTCCTGCCGCTGGTCCTCCTCACCTGCGGCACGCTGATGCTGCTGCAGCTGGTCGCCTGCTGCTCCGTCGCCGCCCTCTTCACGGCCACGCCCCTCGGCGCACCGTGGAGCACCGCCCACCGGAGATCGGGATTGCTTGGGGATGCAGCCAGGATTCGGCGATGCCAGGACATCGAGGATCAGGATAAGGAGAAGGAGAAGGAGGATCTGTGCCGACGGGGATTCGAGCGAAGTGCGGTGCCCGGGACATAGCTTCTCGGTGGATTGTCAACTGGAAACGCTGCCGCATTGCCAACAGGAATCGCATATTAGGTTCCCCAGGCTGGTGGGTTTACAACTACCACCCCACCCCCTTCACCCAATACCCAACCCCCGCTCTCTATCATTCAGAGCCCCTCGTGTCCTTGGTTACCTGGTTTTCGGTTTGGCCCTCTGCCCACGAGCACACCCCATCCACCTTTTCGTGGACCTTCTCTCCGCTGGAGCTTATCCTGTTATCACTAAATTAAGTAGCCAGACTTGGTCCAAAAAAGAGTAAAACAGAAAAGAAGGAGAAACCGAAACCGAAACCGAAACAGAAATATAAACCTAAAACCGGTACGTACTTATCAGTCTTTTCTATAACTAACCGGGGAAAACACAGATAATGCAGCAGGATCCCAAGTTGAGATGGGAAACCGCAAGAAGAACAACTTTTTTCGGGGAGGGGGAGGGGGCAGCTAAGAATAAATAGAAAAAAGAACAGAAAGAGAAACAAGAAAAACTCCACGCAGAAAACACCTTGTAAATAGAGCAACTTACATGAGATTTCTCTTCCATCGAAAAAGTGACTGGCGAAAGGAAATGTCGAGTGTATGCATTCATCTACTCAGCTTTATTTTTTCCCTTCGGTTGGTTTCCACTTCTACAAATACACACACAGACACACACACCTACATACACAAACACATACACATTCTCTCTCTAGTACAAGGATAAGCTATAGGTGTCTAAACATATTATAAATAAATAGCAGCGAGAAGTTTTGATGGGAAACCCCTTGCGATTTGAGGCAAGTCAAAGTACGATAAAGAATTTTTTTTTGATAACTAGCATAAGTTCAAGACTATAGTAAAATATAAGATAAATGATGATGATAAAGGAGAGGAGGAGGAGGAGAAGGAGAAGGGGAAGCAGGAGGGGAAGTAGATAAAACGGATGGAAGCTGAGATTAGCGATTGATTGTTGGATTAAATGTGTACATATAAGCAAATCAGCATAATTAGTCTACGGATATTTTTTTTGTTTTTTTTTTCGGCTACTCCCATATATCAGATCAGAATAATCTCTACCTATATATAGGGCATTTTGATGTGTTTAGGGCGATAAGCGATACTAATTATTGTTGTGTGTTTGAGGAAACGTAACGAATCGAAACGAGGAAAACAAAGAAAACGCAGATATTGACATAGAAATGTAAAACTATCCAATACAGCGTATTGCTAATTCAACTCGAGTATTTAAGTGTCTCTCTCTCAAACTATCTCTATCTCTCTCTATTTCTCTATAACTCTCTAACTGATTCTCTTTGAAGAAAGAAAAAACAAATGAAAAACCAAACAAAAAAAAAAGAAGAAGGAAGAAAGAACAGTAACTGTAACTTTAAGCCAAGCTAGTGGAAAGATAGAGTCACAGGTACAGATACAGATACAGATACAGAATCAGATACAGAATCAGATCCGCGATCCCACCCCAGAGAAAGGGTCTAACCCTATCCCATCCCAGCCCCCAAAAAATCTGGTGAGCCAGGCACTGGAAACTTCTCATACGATTTCGCTCCAAATGAAAAACCAAGAAAAGAAACGAAAAACAAAACAGAATATTCAAAATACTCTCCATACTAAACGTAATTAAATGGATATAAATATGGTGGTACACTTAGAATGCATAACTATAATAATAAAGAAGGAGAAGCAGATCGAAAACCAAAAGAATATATTTTATGAATGTGATGAAGTTTAGCAAATTAAAAGTACATATATTGAGAGCCCCAAACTAAAGACCAAAAATTCAGAAAGTAATTCATCAAAAAGAAACTTTGAGCCCCAATGAAGCGAGTTAAATTCTTTCAAAATTTAAAAGATCTTGTCAACGGATCAATATCGGAATATCATCCCAACCATATAAAATTAAAGCAGTTTCATCCACTCAGAGAAAATCTGCGACCGAATTGAAGATAAATGTACTTGTAAATGTATCGATCAGTATTTTGATTTTCCTCTCCATCTATCCGCATGCACTAGTCTAAGCAGAACTTAAAAAGAGTGTTTAAATGTTTATAAGCAAATTGAATGTAATTCAATATCAAAACCGAAAAACCGAAACCAGAACCGAAACCGAAACACAAAAACAGCAAAAAAAGCGCATAGCAAACAAAAAAAAAAAAAAACGTATAAGTAAAAGTAAAAACAAAAAGAGGAACGACAATTTCTATGTATAAAATAAGGTGAAATAAAGTCCATGTTGCAGATGCTAAACCTATGAATATATGGTATATTGTAATTGAATGAAACCGATATAAATATGTAAATGATAAGCGATAATTAAAAATGTGTTGACCCCATTTATTATGTTCGTTCGTTTTGTGTACATTAATTTTATGAAGCTCTTTATTTTGCTTTTTTTTTGTCGCTGTTTCGATTTCTTTGTGAGGGCTATGGTTTTTTTTTTTTATTGTTTTTGCGGTAGAGTTAATTAAAGGGAAAAGTAAACAGAAAATGCCGGAAGAGCGTAAAAACAATTTTAAAGTAAATATGTTAAATACAATTTTAAGCATAAACAATGGCGTCAAAAGCAAACAATTTTAATGTGGTTAAATAAGAAAAATGCCGAATTCAATGGATAATATGTGTGTTGTTCCAATTGAAAACGGGACACTTTGAAATATTACAATTCATAATAACTATTAATACGAGAGGAAGGGTATGAGAACTGGATCCTACCATCAAGTGGAACAAGAGTTACGGATTAAATTGCATAGGTCTAGGCAGAAATTAACGAAGGTCATTTACCGATTCGTAATACACACACAAACACACCCGCAACACATTCACAACCACAAACACACACACACACGCACACATTCAGATCCATGCAATTTGAACCAGAGAATTTGAACCGAAAAACGAGAGATTCGATCAGAACAAAACCAAATATGAATTCAATAAAAGTGTAAAAAAAAAAAACAAAAGCTGCATTTTTAATTCAGACAATTGTGAACGTCGCCCAAATGCGAACATTTTGTGACCGTTTTGTGGCCATTTTCATTTGTAATTCCACTTCCCTTCCAAATTGCGAATTCCATTCAGCGGCCTTTAATTTGATAGCTTACAAATTTGTTGACACGCCGAAACGAATTCGCCAGAATTAGAGTGCTGGCCAAGCTGGTGTGGAAAAAATATTATGAAAAGTGTATAATTTATGCATACGCCGCTATTTTTCTTTTTGTTGCCCATCCAGCTGTTGATGATGTGCAATTAAAAGTACACGGCTCTCATGTTTGCCGGTGTGTGTGCATGCATAAAATGATGTCAACTAGGCAATTAAGTTATTGCAGTCTGGCCCAGGTGTTAAAATTGCGACCAAATCGATTAGCGCTCCGCACGGAATGGAAAAAGGTGCGAAAAGGTCCAAATGGGTGGCCGAAACTTGTGGATTGCCAGTGGACTTTAAAGCAAAGGAAACAATAAATCATTTCTGAAAATGGATAGCAGGGTAAGTAAACACTACATTATTTTGTATTATTTTATTGGTTTTTATTTTGCATTGGACTTTTAGGTGAATGATATATTTTTTGAGTTTTTAGTCACTCAACTCTTTGGTTTAAATCCGATTGCTCACTTCATTTTGATTTATTGCAATTAATATTTAATTTACTAGAAGGCTTCGATGGCGCAACTCTTTCTCTCCTCAGTTGCATCGAATGTTTTATTTGATTTAATTTCGCACTGTCAGCCATGATTGCACTGCAGCTTTTTCCCCCTTTTCCACCTTTTTTTTGCTGTTGTCTTTGCCCGCTGTGCGGTTTTCCCTTTATTTTCATTCATTTCATTTAAAAATTTTTGCAGCACTCTTGCATATTGCCTTGTTTTTTGTAGTTAAATTAATTTGCATAATGCATGACACTTTTGAATCATGAACGAGGCGGGCGTTCACTCTGCTTAACTGCGACCTCCAGAAATCGATGTAAATGCAAATGGCCATAAATTACGCATCCGCCCCGTCTGCCACCCAATCTCTCTCGTCTCTGTCTCCGAATATTAACTTAATTAGTTGAACGTTATTCCTTCCCACACACACACACAGACACACACACATACGCATACATACACACTTTTTTATTTTCGAATTTAATCGGAATTTTATTAAATGCTTTTATAATGAGACAGAACCGGAGACTGTACCTATATGAAATATTAATAATAATAATATCCCGATCAATGATTGGACGTCGCAGCGAATGGCGGATGGCGGATGGCGATCGATTGAAATCGTTGTCATTGTCTGACAGTTTTCATTAAGGGCCTTAACGTCCGAGGAGCGCTGGACATCCGGCCAAACAATGTCAGGAGCATCGGACATCGGATAATGCGACTCCTGCTTTGTGCGGAGCATTTCGATTGCATTCTGCGCCGACCGAAAGCCATCAGATTGCGCCGCCAGCCAGCAGGGAAAATGAAGGGGAACCGTTCTCTGGAAAAGCCATGTCCGGACTGCAAAAGGAACGTCGAATCCCTAATTGGGCATTAATCGGGAAAAGGCAGATCCAAAAAGGTAAGCCAAAAGTAACAAGCAAGCCCATTAAAAAATAGAAAACCTTAAAATGGGAATGCTTGACCATTTAGCTATTGAATTTAAAAACTCTATTTGGTTGTTATTTGTTTTCCTAAAAATCAGTAATATTTGAATGACTCATAAAAGAATTAATATTGTTGATTTCAAAAAGAAAATATCAAAAAATTTGTATAATTTTTACTATGCTTCCTATTATCGTTCGGCAATCTAATTTATTTAAACTGATTTATTTGTTTAACTTAAAGGTATAATGTTATCCATACGACCTATCCTTTAAGGCTGCAAACTTGCGCTGTAAATTAAGATAAAGGTACGGAAATGTTCCTACATTTCCCTCCTAATTCTTTCTTGTTAAGTACTTTTGCCACTTGAACCTCTCATTTACCTGTCACTCAACCTCTCCAGCTGAACATTTTGTTTCTTAACTAACCTTTCTCGGCGACGGCCGGCGAACAAAGGAGCTCTTTTGTGCCTTGAATTCCTTTAAGCTTGTCCCATGCAGCTGCTATCTGCTTTTGGTCCTTGTTTGCCCCCTCAGCCTACGAATATCCTGGCCACGCCGGTTTTTGTCCATTTGTCGTTGCTTTTTATATTATTTACGCTCGTTTAATTTTTCGCATGCTTTCTTTATTCGACGCGCTCAAGTATTTTAACAAATTTTACAACTTTTTAAGCGGGTCTAAGCGACTATGGCCACCTGTCACAACCCCTCCTCCTCTTCCGCCCTCCCCCGTTTTTTTTGGCTGAGGCTGAAGCCCTTTTGGCCCCGCAAGGGCATTTGGCCTTGGCTTTTGGTGGCGAGTCCTTTTTTTGGTGGCGAGGGAGGGAAGGCAGACAACAAGCCTCCTTTTGCCGCTTAAACGTTTTGTCGAGCATATTTGTTGGCCATAAATTAACACGCCGCTCGCTTGTTTAATCTTTTTATGGCCCGCCTAGAAACAGCGACCCCAGCCACGCCCACCGAACGCCCACTGACCGCCCACCAGCGAACGTCCAATGAAAACCACCAGGGCAGCGGACCAAAAATTTAATAATTTGCTCAACATTAACCACTTGGCGGCCTGTTGTTGTCCTTGCGCCTTGGTTCCCCGTTCTTGTCAACGTTTTTCCTTCTTTTTGGTTTATTTTTTTCGTGTCCTGTTTGCTGCTAATTATAAGGGGATTATTTGCTTATCCGCCGAGGTCGAAGGTGGGTGGCATAAATTCGCAGTTGGAAGGATGAGGGAAAAGAGGTAGGGGAACGGGAGGGTAGGAGTTTGGCATACAAAGATCCCTCTTATTGTCCGCCCCAGCTGTAAATTAACCGTCTCTTAACCGCCTCTTTACCTCCACTTCCCCACCCCCAGCTCCCCCGTTCATCCACTCAAGTCCGCCATAAATTCCCAATTAAAAGGTGTAATAAGCGTTTGTTCCGCTTCGGCTATGAATACCATTTCGGGCCAGGACCTTCGTCCCTTCGTCCCCTCGTCCCTTCCACTTGTCAGCAGCTGCGACTTTGTAATGCAATTGCAATAAAACAAACTACAAAATGGCCACGGGTATCCAAACAGTGGGTGGGAATGAGGGTGGAAATTGGTAGAAATGAAAGGTGGCATTGGAGCACAGTGGGCCAAGGATCGCTTGACGGGGCTAAAATCTGCTGGAAGCCTTTCGAGCAAAGGCAGATGACAGACAGCTTTAAATAAGCAGAGGGGCGAACAAAGAAACTGCGATGCTTAGTTGCCAAATTAAATGAAAAACTGGTTAAGTACGGCAAACGCTGAAAGGAGAAAGCCTTTCCAAAGAGAGAGGGTAAGTGAAAGCAGATGAGCCCAAAGAAATCAAATAAGTTTGCAGATGAAAGGGAAACAGAAGATGGACTCACGAAATTTTAAATTACTTTTCGAGGCTTCACAAAGTGCAAGATTTCCACGATACTTAAAAGTCCTTTCGTGTTTAATTTGACCAGAAGCAATCCAGATACTTCTAATAATAACATTCTACTCATCATTTTTTTTCAAACTAAAAAAACACAAGGACAGCCAAAAACCAGGCGAACAGAAATGCCTAGAAGGTGGCTGCATCATTAGTTTATTATACCCTTGCAGAGCAAAAAGGTATTATAATTTCAGTCAGAAGTTTGCAACGCAGTGAAGGAGATACCTCAGACCCCATAAAGTACATAAATTCTTGATCAGCATCACCATCTGAATCGAAATATGTCTGTCCGTCTGTCCTCCTGTCGGTTTCTATGTAAACTAGTCTCTCAGTTTTAAAGCTATCTTGCTGAAACTTTCCAAAAAGTTGTGTGGTTATTGCAAGCAGTATATAAGTCGGAACGGGCTGGATCGGCCGACTATATCGGATAGCTCCCATACAAGAGAATAAAATACAAAAAAATACGAAAAAAATTATTTTCCGAAATTTAAAAAAGCTGGTATGCAACTATTTTCTAGGCCCAAAAACAATAAGGAAATCAGACGACTATATCATATAGCTGCCATATGAACAATAGTCGAAAATATGGAAAATAATAGAAAAATAGTCATAGCTTAGATGTTGTTTAGCCTTTATGTATTTTGTTCGAAATATTTTATAACTGCAAGGGTATATAGGCTTCGGCTTGCCGAAGCTAGCTTCCTTTCTTGTTTGTTATTTATTTACTTATATTTATTTATTTTTTAAATTTTTTTCAGTACTGCATAAAATGTGCAAAAATCCTATTATCTCAACGGAAGCTTCCTGACCATTCTTTTCCCTACTCATCTACCCATCGATCAACGAGAGCAGCTGAAACCACGTTGGGGGATTCATCGAGGAGCAGCAGACAATTATTCGCCTTGGACGAGCAGAGTGATTTATTTATTATTAAGGTTTTTTGTTACTTTAGAGATATTCTTTTAAATGTAGGATATTTTATTATAGATTTTAAGCTATTATTAAATGAGAATAAAATTAAATAAAATGTTTTTTGTTGGTTTGGGGCTATATTGAAAATTATGAGTGGTTTATAGAATATCCTCATAAGGAGTGGTTCAAATCCCTAAATTTGATGAAAAAAACGAGTTCGAAAAGTAATACTGTCCATTTCGACAGCCAAATTGGCAATTTCTGAAAACGAAATACCAGACGAACAGAAATGCCTAGAAGGTGGAATTTATCAAATTAATTTATACTTATATCCGAGTTTCAAACCCAGTATTATCAGTGATGCTCAACCCACAATCCCAGAATTTTTCGTGGATCGTGCATAGTCAAGTTTCGAACCATGACCCTTAGTACCATCCACAGAGGAAATTGTTGCATATCTTAGGGGACTGCCAATTTAATGGACAAAAATTCTTCTCGAACTGAAATGTTGCATACCTTATGGGGCTGCCAATTTTAAATTTCGGATTTTGTTTCCTACAAATCGAT